GTAAATGTATTAACAGCGGCTAGGATTGTATTTGCTAAAAATTGGAAAAATGAGAAAATACCATTGCAGGAAGAAATTATTAAGAAAATATTGGAATGTGCTGAGATGAGTAGATTGACATTTGAAATTGGAGAGCAAGAGGATAAACAATTCTAAAAAATTTGGGACCTTTTCTATCAATGGTTGGATGATAAAATAAAATAATAGAATATTTAGAATGTTAGATAATAAGGAATATCTTTGTTTTTTTCTTTTTCTTTTGTTATTTGATATCATATCTATAAAGTGTTTTTAGGATAGATTTGGTATGACTATATGATTTGTTATAGAATAAACTACCTAAATTATAGTTATCTCATAAAGTATGAATGAATAAAACCATAGTCAAATGATTTTCTAATAATGATATGAGGATATATAAATTTCGATTGATAATACGAGTTATTACGTAATGTAACTGTAATTGGGACTACGAAATGAATGCACAAAACTGATGAACCAACTGACACACTTCTTGTATATATGTATATATTTTTATGTTTTGTTTGTTTTGTTTGTTTTTAAAAAACCAATAAAATTGTTTTCAAAAAAAAAAGCATTGGCTAGGAGTAGAAAAAAGTTGGTTCTGGTCTATTTTCATCAATCAAAAATTACTCAGAATAATTGGGCCCGTGATAATGTGTCTTCACTCCTACAGTTTTGGAGAATTGTAGAATTCCAATGTATGGGTGCATTGTAATTCTAGAAGAAAAACAATGCATATCTACCCAATAAATATAAAAATTATTTGCTGTATTTCTTACTTGGAAATCTTAATAGTAGCCATTTCCTCTTTGTATAATTTCTCTCTGTATGTGTTTACATAAGTGATGGCAATGCTTGTATCTGAATTTCCCTACCGGATAGGGAAAACAGTAGCATAAATAGCTTTCAAACTAATATATAAATACAAGATTATTAAACACATGTTTAATAGCATATTATCAAATAGAAAACAGTTACAATATAACTGCTATTTTGATATTCACTTGGTGATCAACACATAATTATATCACTGTTAAATACATTTAATCAAAGCAACTGAAATATTAGCAGAATAAATTATTTTATTTTTATTTATTTATTTTTATTTTATTTTTGATTTGTCAATCGCTTACAAGATAATAGCTATAAGTATAAAATAATTATGAATACATGAAATGGATACATAAAAGAAAAATAAAAAGAAATAATAGGACAGGGATGGTAGGCATTAATTAATTAATTAATTAATATTAATTGATTCATATTAAAATATGAATCTTTTTATCCAACAATCAGAAGGAAATGAAAACTCAGCTTGAAAAGATACTATCCCAAAACAATACAAAACAATAATGTTTGTAGTAGAGTTTGGACAGAAAATGAGACGCAACCTGTTGCATCTTTGAACTCTGACATCTCAGCATTTTTTTTTCAACAGTGTTAAATGTTATGTAAGCACATATTCAACAGTGATACTTAACTTGTTTAAAGGAGATAAATTCAGTTAGATAAAGTTTTGGAGGTGGCATTTTTATATGTGGTAAGAATAGAAAACATAAAAAATGTAAATTATGGATTGAATGAACTGAAGATCAGAGCATGAAAAACAGACATGTAGGATGGGGATATCAGAGCACACAGTTTCCCATTTTTACCCATTTCTCCCAAAGGACCAGACACCAAACTCACATTTTCCTCTTCTTTCCTATTTTAAATGTTATGTCCATTTACATAGTGATAAAAATGGTTGGCTAGGAGTAGAACAAAGCTGGTTTAAGTCTATTTTCATCAGTGAAAAATTACTCAGAATAATTGGACCTATCATAATGTGTCTGCACTCCTGCAGGATTGTAATTGGGTTGGAAAATGGAATAATTGCAATGTATGGTGCTTCTAGAAGAAAGGCAATGTAAATCTAGCCAATAAATATAAAAATAATTTGCTATATCTCTTCCTTGGAAATTTTGAGAGCAGACATTTCCTCTTTATATAATTTCTCTCTGTATGTGTATTTATGTAAGTGACAGTGTTTTTTTTCCAATTTCCCTACTAGATATTAGACTAAAATAATATAATAAAAAGCCTTTAAAGCAATACATAAATGCAGGATTATTAAACTTGTATTTAATAGAATATTGTTAAATAGGAAATTATAAAACTTAAATTACAACATAACTACTATTTTGATACTCACCTAGTGATAAACATAACATTACACTGCAGCTTAATACATGTAATCAAAGGACCTCAAATATTAGCAGACTAAAAAGTTGCTTTATCCAACAATGAGATGGAAATGAAAACTTATTTTGAAAAGACAGTATGCTTTATCTATTACAAACCAATAATGTTTGTAGTAGAAGTTAGACAGAAAATGAGACACAACCTATTGCACCTTTGAGCTCTGATCTCTCAGCATTTGTTTTCAACAATGTCAAATGCCATGTTAGCACATATTCAACAATAATAATTAACTTGTTTAGAAATAAAGAAATAAAAACAAATTTTACCATGTATTTCTTTTTTTCATATACTGGTAGATTATGAGATTACTTTGTCATTCCTAATTCAGCTGTTAGGGATCAGTTTATGCATGAAGGTTTGGTCCAAATTTCTGCAAATTATAATTGTTTTTTATTCTTTATAATTATCATGTGGAAAAGATACCAGTGTTGAATATGTAGGTAATTCATATTTAAAGTCTACACAGAATCTGTCAAATCTCTCTTAAAGTCAATGCTGTCCCACTAATTTTCATGTAGTGAAACATCTATCTGCAAACATAGAGATTTCTATTCTGAATGCTTATTAATCTTGTTTTATTTCCCTCCAGAGACTTTTACATCAAAAGAAATTGATTTCTGTGTCCTTATTAATACAGTTAGCAAATATAAATAAAACTGACTTCTCTGAGCCCATTAGTATAATTGACCATCAAGTGCACAATAGCTTCCTCCTGAACCAGTTATCCTATCAGAATAATAATATCTTAGATTATTAACAGAATGGGGGCTGCAGTGAAAATTGTGAGAGGTGAAAAACAATCAAATGAGAAGGCCTCCCTGTCAAATATTTCATCATTTGTAATTCTCTTTGAACTCCAGTTTTTTTAAAAAAATCTCATCTTCTATCCTGTATGCCACATGTAGGGGAAGACCTTGACCATAAGGACCCATCTCAGCTATCTTCACACGAAAGCACGACTCCTGAAACAATCATAATTCAAAAGGAACTTTTGCTGAAAGAAAAGATATTAGAGAAGTCAGGCAGACTCTGAAGATTCCTGTGTGAAGCATTAAGCTAATTTCAGCTTAAGCACAGTTATATGCCATAACTGTGAGGTAGGGCAATAGCAATGCAAATGAACATTGTAGTTTGAGGAATTTAATGACATATTTTGATTTCTATATTTAAAAGGTCTAAAATTTACAGTCCAGTCTGAGCTAACCTGCTTGTTTTTCTATCTTACTTGCTAAATATCCTGGGGGTGGGGTCTTTACATAACTCCAAAGCTCTTGGTTTCTTTGTAAGTCTCAGATTTTCAGTTTCCACACCAGAGTCCTGGATATTTCAAGAATGTCTATTAGAAAGATTAGAAAGATTCATTTGACTATGCTAGACACAAATCTGAATACAATATTCATGAATTAGAAATTAATATTCACACAAATTAGGTAAATATTAAAATACTTTATTCAATAAACAGGGCAACATAATAACTATAACTGCAAAATATAATAAGGACAAGAAATATCAAGGTAAGAAAACAAGAAAGATACATTCAATGCAGGAATATAAATATAGAAGAAAATGTCATATTACTTTAGCTGAAAGCCCCTCACTCTCAAAAAAAGGTACTGATATTATCTAGGCAATTCCAATATGCATATGCCACCTTCCTGAAATATTGTTATATTAAAATAAAGTATTTGTCCTTAAATATATCTTTATTTCATTTACCAGGATGGTGGCATAGATAACACAAAACCTGGCTAAGCCTTTTAATATACAATATTAGCAACTGTTATGAAGTAGTTCTCAAGCAAATTTTAATAAAATATCATTCTGGAGTACAACTATTTATACTCGTTTCTTCAGCTATTACAAAATGAAGCATATCTTATCTTTTCCAATTGACATATTGCATGTTACTGTAAACTTACATGAAGGTCTAATATAGTTATGAAATTGATTTTTTCTTTTTCATATTGCTGTGGTTACAAAAGAGTTGTGGAAGATAGTATCAGTTCACCCATCATGCCCATCATGCCAAGTATTTGCTTTTTCCAAAGCACTTCTAAAGGAAAAGCTAAAATGAGTAAGAACCTGTTTGGTGTAGTGCTTAAGGCACCACACTAGAAACCAGATCACGGTGATATTTAGTTCTGCTGTAGGAACGAAGCCAAATGGGTAACTTGGGCCAATCACTAACTTTCACAGCCCTAGGAAGGAGGCAATGGCAAATCCCTTATCTTATGAAAATCTTTGGCAAGAAAATGCACTGTTTTTTCCAGGCAGTTGGAAGGAATTAAGACTGACATTATGAAACTAAACATCAAACTTAAGGAGAGAAGTCTTGGAAAAGTTGATACCTTAAGTAGTCATATTATGTGCAAGCATTGTAAGGGAAGCCATTTTATTCCAAAAGAACATGGAAAAATAGGCCATGTAGTTTAAATATTTGTATGATTACACTTGTTTTGCACAATTGTACTACATCCTGGTACTCAGTTCCAAAAATCAAGAGACTGCCAATCAACTACATTTAAAGTGTACAAACAACAGTTAAGGATGCAAAATATTTTCTGAGTAACTTCTTCAGTTCTGCAATTCTTCTGGATTTAAAGGTTGGATGTGCATGCATCCCAACTATGTTTATTTTTTAACTTATTCCTGTATTCAGACATTTAAAAGAATAGCTACAAAAATGAAAAATTGTGATGACCAGAATAGGAGCAATATTAAAAGGTTTTTTTTCAGAATCTCCACAGTTTAGACAGGGCATATTTAATATTCCTATTTCTCATGCTATAAATGATGGGATTGAACAGAGATGGAAGAAGAGAATACAGAACAGTCAATCCAAAATCCAAATAAGATGGGGTATCAGAGGGAGATCTCGTATAGCCAAAGCTTCCAGTTACCATTAACATAGCTACTACAATAAGGTGGGGAAGACAAGTAGATAAAGCTTTTTGCCTTCCTTTTTCAGAAGGGATTCTTAACACTGCCTTGAAGATCACTGCATAAGATACAACTATAAAAGTCAAACAACCTAGTCCAGCAATGATGCCAATCACAAGAAATCCAACCTCAAGTAGATTTAATCCAGAGCAGGATAGTTTTAGCAATTGTGGAACTTCACAAAAGAATTGATTGATCACATTAGAACAAAAAAGGATGGAAAAGGTTCCAGTAGTATGCAACGTTCCATACAGAAGACCAGCAAACCACACTACAATTGTTATTTCAATGCAGGCTTTCCAATTCATCACTATCTCATAGTGCAATAGATGGCAAATGGCAACATACCGATCATATGCCATAACTGTCAGGAGGGAGAAATCAGAAGCTCCAAAGAAGAGAAAGAGAAAGATTTGAGCAGCACAACCAGAATAAGGGAGAAATCAGAAGCTCCAAAGAAGAGAAAGAGAAAGATTTGAGCAGCACAACCAGAATAAGAGATGTGTCTGGTGTCCACATGAGAGAGTTTATCATGGATTTAGGGACAATGACTGAAACAATGCCAATGTCCTGCAGAGCTAAATTCATTAGAAAGAAGTACATAGGGCTGTGCAGTTGATGATCAAAAGCTACTGCAGAGATGATGAGAAGATTTGCTACTACAGTTGCCAGATATAACACAAAAAACAAGAAAAAAATGTAAAAACTGTATATGCTGACTTTTTGAGAATTCCAGCAGTAAAAAGTAAGAAATGGTTTGATTATTCATGTTTCATTTACGACAAAGCTCCAGGGTATAACTGTAAGAAAAAAGAGAAGGGAATGATAGTTAGATAAAAGCTGGAAAATGGCATTTTGATATGCAGTGAGAATAACATACAAAACAAAGTGTACAGCATGAACGGAAGGTAAAGAGAAACAGACCACGAAAAGAATAAATGTAAGATCAGCACATTAAAATAGAAGAGTTCTACATTAATTTCTGTCCACTTTAATCCGTACATTTTAAACAACCACCAGCCTTACATTTTCTCTTCTTTCCTACTCCCAGTTAGGTTATTTCGATTAAAAGGATTGCCTACAATTAGGAAAGCCCTGTTGAAGTCTACTTTCAGCCATAGAAGATTACTGGGAATGTTTGGACCAGTTACAATCCCTGGCAACTTTGTGATTGTTGAAAAATGGTGGATGAGCTTGCTATGTGTGGTGTTTGTGCATCTAGACAAAAAACAATGTAAATCTAGCAAATAAATATAATATAAGTTACTGTATCTTTTACTTGGAAATATTCGGAGTAGATCTTGCCCCCTGTGTTTTCTCTCTCTTTCTCTCTCTGTCTCTGTATTTTATGTGACAGAAGATGGAAGTGTTCTTCTCAGTTGCCTTTGCATCTACTTGACAAAAGAAAAAACAATTAAATAGTATAATAAGCTCTAATCTAAATACATAAATCTAAATCTAATACATAAATACTAGAATCCTAAGCATGCATCGAATGACATATAATTAAACAGAAGAAAAACAAAACTTTACTTACAACATAACTTTCACTTGACATTCACTGGGTGATATTATACATAATAGACACACTGGAAAATATTTTTAATATAGAAGTCCAATACTGACAAAATGAACAAATAAATAAACCCCCTTTTTCAACAATCAGAGGAAAGTTTGAAAAAGCAGTCTTCCATTAAGTACAAATCTCTATTCCCTCCAGGAGTGTTTGGCCACAAAATGAGATGCACCTATTACAACTATGAATTCTGACACATCAGTATTTCTTTCAGCAATATGAATACACATTTTCAATAATAATACTTTAATGCTTAGAAAAAAACACAAATATTATCATTTCTTTTATTCATATCGAGGGAGATTTGAAATTACTTTGCTGATGCTAATTTTCCTACAGATGATCTAATTTTTGGATAGTGAAAAAGCTATCTGCAGGTGAGAGATCTTCTTCTGAATGTTTATTATCTGTTATTTTTTCCTCAAGAATCTTAAACACCAAAATAAACTGACTTTTGTGTGCTTCGTAAGATAATTAGCAAATAAAAATGACTTCTCTGTGCTTATTAACATAATTAGCTATTAATAACTCTATAGCTATCCCCAGAGCTCCAGTACCAGTTTTCTCATTGTTGGAAGAAATGTCCATCTGGGTTCAGTTCCAAATGAGAAGAAAGAAACGGGAAACATGGAGAGTGTTTGGAAGGATGGTTTTAATGGTAGAGAAGACCACATTGAGGTCCTCACACATGAGTGAGAGAGGGAGTGAGATTTATAACCTCTGTTGGGCTTTGAACTTGCTTCCTGTTCCTGTGGCAATAAAGGTATTCTGATTGGTTGTCAGACTCCTATGGAGCCATGCAGGGGTAGCTTGGTTGAATCTTTTTGGTTGATGCAATGAAGGGCAATTAAATGGCTCTGCCTGGAGGAGGTAGATCTTTGTTATGTAGAATAGATTGGCCCAGGTCTTAATGGCCGTTAACAAAGGTGTATGGCAGGGGCTGAGGTTCTGCCTCTCTTTTAGGGAAAATATTCTGTCCTTTTAATATTTCCCAAAATGTTTCATTTTTCTAGGAGAGGGTGGGTTTTAACTTCCTACATCATAATATAACAATATCTCAGAATGATGTTAACAGAATTGGGGTTGCAGTAGTTCCAGCAATCCAAACTGTGAGAGGTGAAACATGAATCAGGTGAGAAGATCTCCCTGAACCATGTTTCATCACTTGGGATTCTCTTTCACTTCTAGGTTTTAAGAAATCCCATCCTCTCTAAGAGAACAGCTGATTAGTTAGTTAGTTAAGCCCAGTTAAGCGCAGATCATTAACACAAAAGTGAAAAATAAAGGGGAAGAGGAAGAAAAGAACTACAGGAAACCCATTGACACCTAATAGATTGCAATAAAACCATAGAACTGTAGAATTGGTGTTAGGAGTGCAAGCACACAAGTTGATAGTTCACTGTTGTATTCCAAGCCACACTCCCTTCTAGGGTCCATTTGGCTGCTTGAGTACGCTGCAAATACAGACCTAAAACATGGCTCATAGAATGAAGTACAATGTAAGCCCATGGAGAGCTATAAAATAGCTAAAAGAGAAAAATAGAATAAGCAATACAGCAAATCCATAGAAATCAATAACAAAACTCACAGAAGAAGCACAGCAAATAAAATTTAGAAAGAGAATTTAGATAGATACATGTTTTAAAAATCAGTGTGGATATTCTCAGTTTTGTCACTTAATAATTTTTATTTTTCTGCAATAAATTGTTTCCTGGAATAAGTAATATTCTCTCCTGTGGTCTATACACTTCCCCAAAAGAATCCATTAAGCCCATATGGTAAAGCATTAAGAAACAGATTTCATACTTTTTTCATATTTCAGTAATTTTTACTCAAGTAAAAAACATTTGCAAAGATTACAAAGTAATCATAAACATTTTAAGGGGCATACAGAGTAAGATACGATAAGAAGATCCCTAGACACAGATTTTAGAATGGCTGACTCTTTCCCTGTAGCTGACAGTTCTGAAACTTTGACTAAGGTGAATGGAAAAACAGCTAGAAAATGAAGAAACTCTTAACATCCCAGTGGAAAGGAATGGCTTGTATTGGGAGGTATAAGGAACATAATGTTGGAAGAATAATGTTTGGTTCATTGCTTCCAGCCATGATGATGAGATCAGTGCAATGAACAAAATGAGGTGGTTTGATGATTATCTGGTTTTCTGGGTACTGGACGGAGTACTATTCTTGAGGAAAGGTGGGTATCTCTATCTCTATCTCTGTCTCCGTCTCCGTCTCCGTCTCCGTCTCCGTCTCCATCTCCATCCACCCACCCACCCACCTATCTATCTATCTATCTATCTATCTATCTATCTAGCACATTGACAACATCAATATATACTATTACGATGCAGACACCATTCCTGTTACATATGCATTTAAAAAATCCATTTTTTAAAGCTATAATTTCAACTAAACTTGAGGAATTGTTTTCCTGACTGGCCTATTTCAAAAAGCTAACATCTCTACAAATTCAGAATAAAATTCTATATTACAGCATGGGTTTTAATAATAATTGCATTTTTTTATTATTATTATTATTATTATTATTTATTTTTATTTTATTTGTCAATTGTTTACAAGATAATAAGTATAAGTGTATACATAGTTATGAATACATGAAATGGGTAAATATAAGAAAAATAAAAGAAAAATAAAAGAAACAATAGGGCAGGGACGGTAGGCACGTTGATGCGCTTATGCACGCCCCCTACAGACCTCTTAGGAAAGGGGTGAGGTCAATAGTAGACAGTCTAAGGTTAAAGTTTTTGGGGTTTGGGGAAGAAACTACAGAGTCGGGTAGAGTATTCCAGACATTGACCACTCTGTTGCTGAAGTCGTATTTCCTGCAATCAAGCTTGGTGCGGTTAACCTTGAGTTTGTATCTGTTGTGTGCTCTTGTGTTGTTATGGTTGAAGCTGAAGTATTCATTGACAGGTAGGACATTGCAATGTATGATTTTATATACCATGCTTAAATCAGACCGAAGACGGCGTAATTCAAGGTTTTCTAGTTCTAGAATTTCAAGTCTGGTGGCATAAGGTATTCTACAACGAGTAGAGGAGTGGAGAACTCTTCTTGTGAAATATTTCTGGACTTTCTCAATTGTGCTAATATCAGATACATAATGTGGGTTCCAGACTGATGAGCTGTATTCGAGTATTGGTCTAGCAAATGTTTTGTATGCTCTAGTTAGTAGTGTGATATTACCAGAGAAAAAGCTACATAAGATTAGGTTAACAACTCTTTTTTTTTTTTTAATAATTTTTTTTTATTTTTTAATAACAAAATAAACATAAACATACATAACAAAATAAACATAAACATACCACAAAAAACATAAAAAGATCCTTCTTCATAAATTTACATACAGTGCATCGATTGGTTTACCACTTTTTTTTGTGCATCCATTTCCTAGTCACCAGTATAATTATATTACATAATAGCTCATATTATCAATCAACAATTGTATAACCTAATATCATCACTAAAAAAAAAATAAAAAATCATTTTTAATTTTGTTAATTCATATTTTAACGAGATAACTATAGTTTGCTTAATTTATTTTGCAATAAATCATAAGATCATACCAAATCTACCTTAATAATGTTTTATAAAGATAATATTAAGAAAAAAAATTTTTTTTTATGCTAAATCTGAATATTCTATCATTATGTTTTATTATCTAACCATTGATAAAAAAGATCCCAAACTTCATAAAATTGTTTATCTTCTTGTTCTCTGATTTCAAATGTCAATTTGCTCATTTCAGCACAATCCAATATTTTCTTAATAATTTCTTCTTCTGATGGAATTTTCTCACTCTTCCAGTTCTTAGCAAATACAATCCTAGCCGCTGTTAATATATTTACAATCAGATACTTCAAATTTTTATTATATATATCCGGTAAGATTCCCAATAAAAAAATCTCTGGTTTCAAGTCTATATGTGTCTTTGTCATTTTTTCCAACCATATGCGTATTTTAGTCCAATATTTTCTAGCGTCCTCACAAGTCCACCACATATGGTAGTATGAGCCAGGTATCTGATGACATTTCCAACATTTTTCAGATTTGTTCTTAAACATTCTTGCAATTCTTGTCGGGGGAAAATGCCACCTGTAAAACATCTTATACAAGTTTTCTTTATAAGCTGTTGACATTGTCATTTTATAATTTTGAGACCACAATTTTTCCCAATTCTCCAAATCAATCCCATATCCAAAATTCTTCCCCCAAACAATCATCGTTTCTTTAACTTGTTCCTCCTCTAATAAAATTTCCAACAAATAAGTGTATAATTTTTTAATCATTTTTTCATCAGTACCTGTCAAGATCCTGTCTAGATCAGTCAATTTATCATAAAATCCCTCCACTTTAGAATCTATAAGATACCTTGAATGTATTTGCGCATATGAAAACCAATTCATCTTTATGCCTTGTTCTTCTAGTTTTTGCATTGTTTTAAGTTCACTCTTTTCATCCAATATTTCCCCATATCTAACTGTTTGTTCCTTCTCATATATAGGATACGAAAAAGCTTCAATAGTTGATAACCAGACTGGGATTTTCAAATAACATTTTCTCTTAATTTTCTCCCAATTCAACCATAAAGACTCCCTTATATAATGCCTTCTAAAATAGCCCTGTGATTTGGTTCCCTTATACCACAGAAAAGCATGCCATCCCAGTAATAAATCATGCCCCTCTAGAGTCAACAATCTAGTCTTTCTTAATGTTATCCAATCCTTAACCCACATTAAATTTGCAGCTTGGTAATACAACTCCCAATTCGGGAGGCCAAAACCTCCTCTAATTCTAGCATCTTGCAGGAGTTTTAATTTTATTCTGGCTTTCTTACCTTGCCATATGAACTTCAACACAATTTTATTTAATTCTTCAAAGTAATCTTTACCAAGCCTGATTGGTAAGGTTTGGAATAAATATAAAATTCTGGGTAAAATATTCATCTTGATTGTTGATATTCTACCTATCAATGACAATTGTAGATTTTCCCATTTTTTCAAATCAGATGCTATCTGTTGTTTAAGTTTGATATAGTTATTCTCTTTCAATGTAGTACATCTTGACGTCAAATATATCCCCAAATATTTGACCTTATTCGTAACTTGAATTTTCGATAAATCTGCCAGTTCATCTCTTTGTTTTAATAACATATTCTTTGTCAAGATCTTTGTTTTATCTTTGTTTATTTTCAAACCGGCCATCTCACCATAAATCTCTATCTTTTCCAGTAGCCTTAAAGCTGTTCCTAGAGGATCTTCCAAAATAAAAACCAAATCATCCGCAAAGGCTTGTAATTTAAATTCCTCCTTCTTAATTTTCATTCCTTTTATATTTGGATCCTCTCTAATGTTTCTATTCAGCACTTCCAAAGTCAATACAAATAACAAAGGTGCCTTTTCTTATATTAATAGAATCTGTAAAATCTCCCTCTATCATCACTCTCGCCGTTTGTTTGTCATATATGGCTTCTATTGCTTGAATAAATTTTCTAGCAAAGCCCATCTGTTCCAATAACAAAAACATGAATCTCCAATTCACATTATCAAATGCTTTTTGGG